AAATGGTTTGTAGGGAATGAGACGGCCAACCAACTGCGGCGACGACGGCCAAGCACCAACTTGCATCAGCTCGTTCGCTCGCGGCGCGTCAAGGAGCTCATCCAGTTGCACAAGACGGAGAAGCGACGGCCGAGCGTGACGTGGACGCGCGAGACGTCGTTTTCGTTCTCGATGCGCAAACCGCGCCGCCTCAACGCATCGGTGGTGCCACGCGACGTTGCAACGACAGCGACAAGACGACCGTCGGCGGCCATTGCCCCGCTCGTGCTCCAGGACGTGGAGGACCTCTAATGACGTCAGCACCCGTACTGTAGCGGTGGTGTACAAGGAGGACATGACAATCAACGTGGCGCGCTGACATCAAATTCAAAGACTTATTTGCGCTACGGAGTTGGCACCAGCACTGGGTCGTTGGGAGTGTACTGCGTACAACGGAGCGATTCGTCCAGAATAGTATTTCAAAAGTACATAAAGAGTTACGAAGTCGTCTTGGACATACTTTCCGTAGACTCTGTCGCTGGTAATATGAACACCTTCAACCCACCGTCCCGACCAAGTGTGACCGATCTACAGGTCACAGTATAAGGTATCATGCTCATTGCCATACGTTGGCGGTGTCTATAGTGACATGAACGGTCCAGAGACAGGTCTGTTTTCAAAAACGCTTGGGTATTTCGATCGCCTTTCTGTTGTTGAAATGGAAGCACGGCGGCCGACCTTATCGCGTCAGCACGCGTCCCGTGACCATCGTTATCCCGCATCGATAACGACGATTTGGTGTCTTGGTCTTACGCTGGGGCTCGGCAGCCAGTGTACCGGCTGGACCACGACGAGTGCGGGCGTCACGAGCCGCGCGATCGTATTTGGTCTCCTCGCCTGCGCGTATCTCTGCCTCAGCTTTATCACCGCGGAGCGCACAAGTGCCCTTCCGTTCAGCGGTGGTGTCTACGGCGTCGGGCGCTGCGCGCTCGGTTACTATCTCGGGTTTCTCATCGGCTCGGCCGAGGCACTTTCCTTTGTTTGCTACGCGAGCGCCCTCACGCTCACAGTCGGACACCTTGTCTGCGATCTCGCACCCGTACGTTGATTGGTGCATTCCGAGAGGTACCCTGCGTGATTGGTATCCGTCGCCAAGGATACCAATCGAGACGGCATTCACATGGGTGCCACCGGTGTAGACGCAAAAAGCCCGTGTGCGCGCGCCATCCTGTCGACAGCATATGTGCCGCCGCTCGTGTGGATAGCGGCGCACGGTGCGATCCTCTCGGTGCACTACCGCGGCGGCCGTGTCTTTTGGCTTCTCAACTATGTCCTTGCAGCCTCTTCGGTGACCATTCTCCTACATGGGTTCCGCCGCGTCGCACGCCAGCTTCGCCACGCTCCCCGACGACGGTGTCCGCGGCGGCATCTCCGCCTTTATGAAGGACTTGCCCGCCCACGCGCGCTTCTTCGTCGGGCTCGAGGGCCTTAGTACTGTTGCCGACAGCGTGCACCGGCCAGTCGACGTACTTGCGCACGGCCACGTCCGTGCGATGCTAACACAGTGTGCTCTTGGTACAGGTGTGTTTGTCATTACACTTGGCGTACCCATGTCCACCGACGAGGTCCCCACCAGTGTCTTGAGCCGAGGTACGCGCCGCTGTTTGATGGACAAGGTTCTGATACGACCTTTGGCAGGGTTTGCACTTGGCTGGTCCATCTCGGAAGCGTCGGCGAGTATCTTTGCGTTGCCACCGACAGTCGCAACACTCTACGGCTATGTCCTTGCCACGTCGTCAATTCTTGCTAGCATGACCAAGTCCAAACTCCTTCCCGCCGAGCTGGGCGAGCTCCACGTCCGCCACTTGTCGCATTCGAAAGCGCTTGTGCTGACGTCGCTGTCGTCTCTTGCGCTCTGCAGTCTCGCGTATGGGGTACCGATGCTGGAGCGCACGCTGTATGCCATTGCAATGGTATACGCGGCGTGCGTGTACATAGCGTCGTCTTACGCGTCGCTGCACATGAAGCGGCGCTTTGGCCAGCTCCAGTACACGTGGTCCAACCCGTTGGGCCGCGCCGGGGCTGTCTTTGGCGCGCTTGTGTGGGCGATCTTGCTTCTCGCGCTTCTCGGGTTTCAAGACGACAGCCTTTTCATCGCGGTCGTGGTGTTGGTGTCGAGTGCGCTCCTTAGTGCATGCTACCACCTCTACGCAAAACACCGCCAGTCGCTCTCCCCAGAAGAGCAACACACACTCTTTTTTGCCCACGTGGCATTCCGTACGTGCGCTATTCAATACCGACTCTGGATGACATGCGTAGGCAATAAACGGCGCCACCACCAGCGCACCAAGGTGATGCGATTCGGCATGAGCGGCATGTCCCAAATGGCGAGCCTGCGGTCGACAGGTCGTCATGGGATGGTGGGGGCAGCCAAGGGAGTGCCGCCGCTTGTCGAGCGCGAGAAGCGCTCGTCGGTGATCATGAAGGCAGAGACATCCCTTAACTTGAACACAGAGGGGGACAAGTGGGCGATGCGCCGGAACGTATCGAGCCGCAGCACCGATAACTTACATGCAACCGAAGAAGATCGATGATGTACGACATACGACGGAAGGAAGATGGCAGCCCACTGTACGACGCGAGCTGCGGCGGCCAAAAGGGTCCGAGGTCCACCCATTCGCGCCCGAGCAGCACTCCAAGACCGACCACGGACTCCGGTGCCATCGCGTTATCGAGTCCGTCAAGCCGTTGAGGGGCATCAATGAAGACGATTAGGTTTATATGATAGTATATTAGTATACTCGCAACTAGCAGGAACTCGTGCTAGCATCTCATTTTGTACCGACAGGCCTAGTGTTGGAGCAGAGCTGCGATTTGAGTACACGGATTTGAGCATGGCCAGCAGCTTGCCACGTGTTAAGCTGTAGAAACGTATAGTATACAGTGATTGAGGTAAGCGATCGTCGAACCTATACTGATTATGGTATACAATATGCAAGCTATTGTTTGGCTCGAACCTGCCAAAAGGGATATTTAATTTAAGAGGTGTCCCTTGAGCTAAAATCGACTCCACACATTTCCACCGTTGGCGCCGCCATGAGCTCGACGTAGGAGCATGGAAGCGATGGTCGAGGTTGACGCGTGTACATGCGTAGGGACAGCGACGAAGACGTACCTCTCTCCAAGCTCCGCGAGCAGCCGGCCAAGCCGAGCATGAAGCGGCAGATCGTCGACGACGATGACACGGACTCGGACGAGGACAAGCCGCTCATGACGATGAAGAAGGTCAAGAAGAGCAGTAGCAGCAGCGAGGACGACGACCAGCCGATTTCTGCCTTCAAGAAGAAGCCCAGCGCCAAGAGCGAGCCCAAGGTCAAGGCCGAGCCCAAGGTCAAGGCCGAGCCCAAGGTCAAGAAGGAAGCGGCGAATGGCTCCAAGAAGGTCAAGAAGGAGGCCGACGTCAAGATCGAGAAGCGAACGTTGGCGCCTTCGACCAAGTCGACGCGCAAGGTCGCGCACATTGCGTTCAAGCAGCAAGAATGCTCCGAAGCCCTCTACGACACACTCAAGGGACGGCTCGTCCAAGAGCTTCTCTGCAGGTAGACGAGCGTCCATGCTTGTCAATGGCTTACCACAATGCATGTAGGTGGTGGTATGCGCTCGATTGGCCGCCAAAAGACATCAACTACGAAGAGACGGCCGACTTGCAGCCGTTGGACGGCTTTACGGGCGCGTTCATTAGCGTCAAGGTAGCCAGCGTCCCGCACCTCATCTTGCTGAGCGTACGATGCCCGAATAATAGGGCGACAACATGGGCTCGATCGTCGACAAGCGCAACAGCGGCGGGAAGCCAACGTTCATGACGTTCTTTGCGATGCCGGCCAAGGAAGTCCAGGAGCTGCTCGTCGTGGTAGGCGGCCACGCTGCCAATCATGTCGTCTCATGATAACTTGGGCGATAGGCGTACAAGAACCAAATGCAAGTGCTCGAGCGCCACGAAGGCGCCGACTGCCCCCTTCTCAAGGACCTCAAGACGTCCCTCCTCAGTGCGCAAAAGATCGACTGCGACAAGGCCGAGAAGGGCGGGCTCAAGGTGCTCAAGTCCTTCACCGAGGTCGCCAAGCGGTTACGGGATCTGTAAGGCGACCACGATGCCGACTGCCGCCGAGACCCTTGTACTACCACCAACACGACCCACCACAGTCTTGCTTGTCGCCTGACCTCTGCACCATCTCCCTTACAGCGTGCTTGGTTAGACCACAGTGAGGACCCACAGTATGCCAGGCGATCGAAGCATCCCAGTCATCGGGCCATAGAGATGGTTCTACGTTGTGGGGTACGGAAGGAATCAAGCAGAAGAGTACTCCATTCGCTACGCGATCGCATATATCCTGCTCCTTCTGGCTTCGTTCTAGTCGGTTCTAGTCGACGTAGTAGTTGACGTAGTAGTTGCTGTGCCAACTTGAGCGGTCGAGAGAGAGGCGTCACGGAGTCCACTCGCTGCATCCATGAGGAGTTCTTCCGAGTTGTTCATGCAAAGCCGACTCAGAACGTTCGATCGACGACAGGTAGAAGCCAGCGGGCTGCAGCATTGCATACACTGGTTCCTCTGGTTGCACCAGGCACCGCGGAAGAAGCGCATGTAGAAGAGGCAGTCGTGAACGACGCTGTGCAAGACTAGGAGCGTCGGCCAACGCTATGATTGTGGTGCTTGGATATGAGAGAGAGAAGTCGACAGTGTAACCTACAGACAGCTATATGGTGTTGTTGAGAATCGCTCTCTAGTTCCATCATGCGTGCTGCTCGACGTAGCTGTTCTTCTTGGTCGGCGTGTCGACGTATTCTGCCGGCGACTCGACGGGCATTTTGATGGGGAGGCCGAGGCGGATCGCGATCGTGTTCCAGACCTTGTTGAGCCACCAGTTGGGGTCGTCGCGGCGGAGCTGGATCGGCTCGCGGAGCGAGTAGAGGACGATACCGACAACCTCGAGGCCCCACGCGGGCCAGTACAAGTTCGGGACTGTGTTGCCAAAGATCCAGCGGATGAGGAGCGCCGAGTACAAGTCGGACGTGAGCATCGAGAGGTTGAACATGAGCGCCTCCGTGATGCGGAGAAAGACCGAGACGACCGTGTAAAAGACATACATGGTGAGCACGTAGCCAAAGGTGTAGCCGATCTTGGCGCCGTCCCAGTCGACCGTCTTGAACTGGTCGTACTCGACGCAGTAGAATTGGATGACGGAGATGACGAGGCCCCAGATGCCAATCATGCCGAGACACTCAATGTTGGCATCAATGCCGCCCTTCTTGACCGCAAACTCGTTGAGGAGGTTGGAGAGCGCGTAGCCGAGCGACCCGAGAAGCGCGTACAAGTTGCTCTTGACCTGGTCCGGGTAGTCGCCGTCTGCCGTCGTCGCGATGAAGATGAGCGTGCAGCCGCCAATGGCGAGGATGCAGCCGATGATGTGCACGGGGAGGTACTTGCGGCGGAGGAAGAGGAAACTCAAGAGTGTCACGAACGGAATCGTCATGTGCACGACGAGGCCCATGACCGCGTAGTTGGACATGCCGCGGAAGGCGAGGACGACAAAGTAGTTGCCTTCGACGTCGACAAGGCCGAGGATCGCCCAGTACCACCACGGCAGGTCCACGCGCGGACGCTTGGCGACGACGTGGTAGACAAGGTACGTGACCGTGAGGCCGCCGTAGAGGAAGAGTGTCTGGAACGTCGGCAGCGACGCATTGGCATCGTTCAGGTAGCGCGTAAAGATGGACGTGACGACGAGGAGGAGCGAGATGATCTGGCCGTACCCCGCGTTGATGAGCTGGCGCCGCGCCTCGGGCGACAACTTGGCACTGAAGCTCATGCTCGCAAGTTGGGGAATGACCAAGCAAAAGCAAACGGCAAAGTGGGCAACTGCCAGCTGGCGAGACGCGAAATGGCTGCGACGATTGTCAGGCCGACCAGGAAGCGTCGAACATTAAAAAGTTGGAACCACTTCAGGTCCGTGGGTTTTCTTTGCGTTGAGACGCTAGGACGATGGCTCACGCGCATCCCGGCTGTCGGACGGCGGCAGCTCGCTGCTTCATGCCACGGCGCTGACTGCACGGTACTAGTAGAACCCCGGCGTGAGTGCCGCATCATCCAGGTGGCAGCAAAAGCACATGGGAGAAGACTTCATAAAGTTCTTCGGGAAAAAACTGGGCAAAACCCAAACGCTCCGCGACGAACATCGTGTTTGAGTGGACCTGGGACAACCGCGCGCCTGGGTGCACCGCGAGCGGCGATGGCGACGGTAGTTGTCTCGCGTGACTTACGACCTGTTTTTAGCGCCGCAGCGTTATCCCAGAGCTTCGAGCTCCTCCAAGCAGTGCTACATGTCTTTGTCGTCGGCGCCGTCGCGCGATGTCCTCACGACGCGGTCGATGGATGGCGTGTCCTGCCTCTCGCGATGGTGGTCGGTCGAGTGTACTGTAAGCCGTGGTCGTTCTTGACGCTAGCGCGGAGATGAATCTTGAAGCCGCCAACTTGGCAAAAATGACGAGGCGCGGTTCGTGGTGCGGTCGTGACTTGATGTGGGTATCGGGTCACATGTGTAGCATAATCATCCCGTCAGATGCCAACGACGACGATGATGCGAACAGTGGGATAGGCTCTGTGAGCACCAGGACGTGTATGGACCAACGAAGCATCGCAATGGATGGCTGGCACGCGGCGTTCGTCATGACCTTGTGGTGGTGGTGTGCGTGGTGGGGTGCGCAGTTGCCTCTCGTCGTCGATGCACTCTTGTCGGGAAGCGCTCTCATCGGCTTGGCCACTGGCTATACAAACGCACGTCGTTTTCAGATTCCACCAACTCGTCCATCTTCTACGTGCGACTTCTCCACCCGTCGTTATCAATGGCGCGTACCCGAGCTAATGGCCACGTCCACTCTCGTAGCTACTCTCGTTGTCGTAGTAATACCACATTGAGTCGCGCTGGAACAAGGTCGAACAGCGTTCTGGTATGCACGGTGGCCGTTCGACTAGAGTACAGTGTATCCCGCCGATTCTCTCGGTGAGCTATCTCGGTGGTGCATCCGTTGCATCGCGTCCCAGCGCTTGTGCACGAGCTTGCGGCGGCGTCGAAAAGAAGCGACACACTGGTTGAACTCGCACGTGCCCACCCTGGGCGAAGAGGGGCAGTTCGCCATGCGAGTCCTCGACCACTCGAATTTCACCCCAGTGCAACATGTCTGCCTCGGCATAGTGACCACAGCTTCGAGTCCATCGGTTGGTGTTTGTTTGCCATTGATGGGAGCGTGGCAGGCTGGGGCCGAACACGGCACTCGGGCGCGGAAGCTCGAGGCAGTTCTGTGCTGTTCGTTGGCCTTGCAGGGGAGGAACTCTGGTCACGCTCGCGCCACTGCACTGTAACCGAGCAACCAAGATTCAAGCGTGTAGAAGAGCGCTCGTTACTGGTGTATTCTAAACCTACTCATGTAATGTGATTTCCTAGTTGCTAGTTGTCAGTGCATCGCTGCATCCGCCATCAGCGACCACGGTATGCGCTGCGAGCGGTTGAATCCAACCCTCGACAGGCGATCTGCTGGGCAGAAGATGCCTCGGCGGCCTTCCGAGAGGGTTGTACGCGCCGTTTCAAATACGCATCCATTCTCGGGCACTTGAGCAACAATGGCAACATTCGTCTTCGTCATCTCTTGCAGAGATACCAGTGAGTATACCTGAAAGCTTCTTAGCGAAGGGCTGGGAGAGATAACGAGCTGTATGGTGCGCATCGGTGTCCCGAACCTATCCAGGTGGTGGTGCAGAGTGTTCTGTACCCGAGGTCTGTGGTGGCTTCCGCAGTGCAACGCAAACGACGCAGCGAGGGGAGAGCCATCTCCCAGGAAGCAGGCAGTTGTATTGCATTACGCCACGAAGGCAGATTGGGAACTGAGACTATGGAGGCCAGCGTTGTGGATAGAACGATAGGTTGTGCCGGATGAGACCTTCGTCAAGAGGCTCTATGATGGGTCACTACCGTATAGGGTCGCTACCGGACATCATCCGTATATGACACCTAAGCACTATCCTATCTACACCATGCACACAAGCTACCAAGACTCTAGGCTACTCGCTTCCTGGAGTCATAACTCTCCAGCGATACACGCTTGCATCGGCTGGCATGGCTTGACCGAACCAGACACAACAGGTCCCTGCCCGTGGTGTTGTTAGTCGCAGTCGTAGTCTCGGGTTCCATTTCTGGGATGCTCTGTTCGTCACTTCATCGCCCACCATCAAGGTGACAACATCATTCTTTCGAATCAATGTGGTCGACATCTGTCGCGCGATATCTACCCGAGAACTTGTAGTCGTAGGAAGCTCTTGCCTTTGATGGTCGACCCAACTACAGACGCGCGGCGCTTGGGCCAAATGACGTCCCTCGACGAGCTCTAAACGCATTTTTGGTCTTGCTAATTCCGATGATGCTGGCAGCGCACGCAGCGGCAGTTGACCAAGGTGGACAATTCGAGGCCATGTTGGGACCGAAGATCGTCGCCAAACCAGTCACGCGTGTTACCTCGCGTCGCTGCATCGATACTTGGCCGCCCTTGGCGTTGGTTTCGAGGCATGTTTCCAGGTGTAGGAGCAAACGTCCCAGTCGGTTCATCGACTAACTGGTATTACTGCCAATCGCAGTAGTCTATGGTGCCCAAGCGCTTAGGAACCGCGCATAACAGTACAATGCATGGCATTTGATGTAATGCTGGCATCTAGTGTACGTTTGATCGAGCGCTGATGATAGTTCTACCAGTATTCGTGGACTGAAGCCGTCGAGATTCACACTAGATCCGACCATAATCCAGACACCCGAGCGATAGTTCCACGCAGCAACTGTGTTGTGTATCAACTCGTGTCGGCCAGTGTAATAGACTGTGATTTGTGTGCACAGGTTTCGTTGAGACAGTAGGTACAACGTGTACAGGTGTCGTACTTGAAGACACGGACTCTTCTTGTTGCAATCAAAATTGGTGAACACGAACTCGGAGGCTTTTTGCGCCATTTCCAAGACGTGGAAGAGGTTTTCCGCGCAAGGCCGAGTACTGGAAGACCAAGATATAGAAGCACACGCACGGACCAAGATCCAGGCGCAGAGGAAGCGAGCTCGAGCCATCCACGATCTCATATTATCAGTCAAAAGCTACCCCGCCTCGCCCACAACTCTGATATGGCGGACACCAACACGGTTGTTGTTGCCCCAAGTAGCTCGGTCTTGTTAGAGAAAGAATGCATCCGAGTTTGTACTTGACCGCTCCGGAACCAACACCAACGTCCACTGTACAAAGGGGTGGCAGGGACACCCGAGAAGATAAGTGTATCGCCAAAGCCATTCGCCTTGAGATTCGGGCGCGATATCGAGCAAGAGAAACATTGGACGCCACCGAGAGAAACGTGAGATTTGGCGGCAGAAATGCCGGATCCATATGCGAATAGTGTCAGTTTGCGTCTATCACCGCGCCGTTCCAGATCGATCGACAGCTCGCGCGTCATCGCACTGAAAATAGTTGGGTGCATGTAATCCAAGCCACCACGTTGTTCTTATTGGCATTTGCGAGTGGCACTGGAAGATATATATTCTTGCGGCCAGAAGAGGGATGGTGAGTCCCGGGACTCGTGACGCTGAACGCCGGCACTGACATCAGGCAAGTGTCCTCACTGCACTGCGCCCGCCATGTTCTGCGCATCACCCAAGTACACAACGATCTTCCGACGGTCGGTCCTGTGATACCAATCAGTGGCGAATCCACGCGGTGCTGTTGAAGCTCTCGTCCGTACTTCTGCGAAATGCAACGAGTTCGCCCGCGTTGTCCGTCCTATCGACCAGCGCTTCCGCGATTGCTCGGCGCATTCTCCGTCTCGTCCGACGAGCGCACGTGACACACCCTTCGCTGCGCTGACGCCGATAGCTTTTCAAACTTCGCATTGTTCGATCAGCATGACGTCGGTCCAGAGCATTGCGCATCGACTCGACAACCTCCCGCTCGGCGGCTGCCTCGGCATCTCGGCTTACTACTGGGGCCTCCTCGCCAAAACGGGCCTTGGCTGGGCGATGGACTCGATGGACACCTTCCTCTTCACGTACCTCGGCGCAAAGGGTTGGCAGGTCGACGTGCGCAACAGCGACGGCTCGGCGCTCTCGGGGCACCAGATTGGGCTTCTCGGGTCGGCTGCTTTTGCCGGCTCGTTTGTCGGCGCCATCGCCTTTGGCATGCTCGCCGACGTCTACGGGCGGAAGCCCATGTTCATGCTCACGATGCTCATCTTCATGGTGTCGATGGTGGTCTGCGGCGCCGCGACCAGCTACGGGCTCCTCCTCGCATGCCGCTTCATCGGCGGCATTGGTCTTGGCGGCGAGCTCCCAGTAGCCTCGACGCTAGTCCAGGAGCTCGCACCGGCGCCGGTCCGCGGTCGCATGGTCGTGCTCCTCGAGTCGTTCTGGTCGATTGGGTGCATGGTAGCCGTCCTCCTCGCGTTTGAGCTCACCAAGGTCGTCTCCTGGCGCGTCGTCCTATACATCTCGGCCGTCTCGATGGTCTATGCGATCGCAGTCCGCTACATTGTGCCCGAGTCCCCGAAATGGCTCGCGAGCGTCCATCGCGTCCACGAAGCGCGCGAAGTGACGTGCAAGATCGAGCGCGCGCACGGTATCCTCCCAGCCAAGGCCAACGAAGGCGCGCTCCGCGTTGTCCAGCATCCGTCGGGGCTTGACGCGTTCGACTGCCGGCTCCTCACGCCTTCCGAGCGCGTCGGGCTCCTCTTCCGCGGCGAGTTTCTCTCGCGCACGCTCGTGCTCTGGACGGTCTGGTGCTGTCTCTCGTTTACGTACTATGCCATCTACATTTGGCTGCCCGACTTGCGCTCGAAAGAGCCGAATGGGTTTGACCTCAACGGCTCGACGGGAACGCTTTTTTTCATTATTTTCTGGCAATTTCCCGGGTACCTCTCGGCCGCGTACCTTGTCGAGGTCTTTGGCCGCAAGAAGACGCTCGCAATGCACTTGGTCGGCGCTGCGGTTTCGGCCATCGCCTTTGGCTATGTCGAGAACACGCAGACCAATCTCATGGTCACGGGCGCCTTCATGTCGTGGTTCATGCTCGGCGCGTGGGGGGCCCTCTACGCGTACACGCCCGAGAACTACCCGACGCCGATCCGCGCCATGGGGGCGGCGTATCCCTCGGCGTTTAGCCGCATTGGTGCCACCGCCGGACCGTACGTGATCCCGATCCTCCTCGAGGCGCAGTGGTCGGGCCGCACGATCATGCTCGTGTGCGCTGGCGTCCTCGTGCTCGCGGCCATTGTACTCCTTATCTTTGGCTTTGAGCCGCGCGGCTGCAACCTCGAGTCGGCGCCGTGCGTCGAGTTTTACTTGAGCGCGACGCTCAAGCCGCGGCTACTGGTCGTGACGCCCGACCCCGCCATGGACACAGTATAAAATATATCTCGTCAAGAGCGTTACCCTCTAAGATCTTGGCGTATGTAAGCGGTGTTCGATTCGTAGAGCGACAGAGGGGGACCGGTAGGCGCGACTGGTTCGATGTGCGGCGCATGGCGTCATACTGTCGTGCGTAGGAGCTGTCATTGGGTGCGGACGGACGCCAGCGGTCATGCCAGAGACAGCGGCAATGGTTTGAGATTCGTTTGAGATTGCCTTTCCAAAGATACGGTTGCGTGATTTTAGCTTCAAGGAGGCAGGTCCGGATACGCTGGCCGCACGTCATGGAATCAAAGAAAAGCCAACATGCGTTTGGTTCAGCTTCTCTGCTGCGTCGTGGCGACGCTCCTGGGCGGCGTGGCCGCGGGCGTCGACCTCACCTTCCCCGAGCACGATGCGGTTGCTGCAGTGACCGACCTCGTCGTCCGCCGCCTCGGCCATCGCTACGTCGAGCAGGTACTACGCCCATATAAGGCCCAAGACCCCGATGGACGCATGTCTAGTTTACATTTGCCACGGTGGCACCGACGGCCGAGGGCCTCGACGTGGCCGAAGTGAGCGCTGTCGACGGCAAGATACGCCTGGCGGGCTCGAGCGCCACCGCATTGGGCTATGGCCTCCAATGGTTTGTCCTATGACACTCGCGACAAGCGGCGTCATGCGCACGTAGGTACCTCAAGACGGTCGTGCACACACAGACGGACTGGGAAGATCACGCCCTCCAGCTGCCGCCGGTGCTGCCCCTTCCGCCTGGCAGCCACCGCCTCGAGAAGGCCTCCAAGTACACGTACTACCAAAACGTGTGCACGGTGAGCTACTCGTCGTGGTCGTGGTCCTGGGCGAAATGGGAAAAGCACATTGACTGGATGGCGCTCAACGGCATCAACATGCCATTGGCGTTTACAGGCCAAGAGAAAGTGTGGCAGGCGACGTTCGAGCAGTTTGGCATCTCCACCGCAGGCATGGACAAGTTCTTTGCCGGCGCCGCGTTCCTCGCGTGGGGGCGCATGGGCAACCTCCGCGGCAGCTGGGTCAAGGGTCCGCTGCCCCAGGCGTTTATTGACGACCAGTTTGAACTCCAAGTGCGCATTCTCGCCCGGATGCGCGCGTTTGGGATGCTCCCGGCGCTACCTGGCTTTGCGGGCCATGTGCCCGAAGAAGTCGCGTCCAAGTTTGCCAACGCATCGATCTCGCGGTCGCCCAACTGGGGCAACTTTCCGGACGCGTACTGCTGCGTCTACATGCTCGAGCCGACCGACCCGCTCTACCTCGCGATCGGCAAGACCTTTGTGGCCGTGCAGCGCCGCCTGTATGGCTACACGTCGTCCTTGTACCAAGCCGACACGTACAACGAGATGGATCCGTCGCAGTCGGACCTGCCGTACCTCGCAAAAGCATCGAAAGCCGTCATCGACAGCATGGTCGCGTCGGATCCGAACGCAGTGTGGCTCATGCAAGGCTGGCTCTTCTTGAGCGACTACTGGACCAACGACCGCATTGAGGCCTACGTTGGCGGTGTTCCCGATGACAAGCTGCTCATCCTCGACCTCTACAGGTACGTTTGTGACCATTTTTTATTGTTTCTTGGGGTTTCTGAGTTGAGTGATTTTGGCTTACGTAGCGAGGTGGTGCCGATCTGGGAAAAGAGCCACAACTACTTTGGCAAGTCGTGGATCTACTGCGTCTTGCACAACTTTGGCGGCAATCTCGGACTCAAGGGCGACCTCCCGACGCTCGCGACCGACCCCGTCGCTGCCCGTGGGCGTAGCAATGGCACGATGGTCGGCGTCGGCCTCACGATGGAAGGCATTTTTCAAAATTACATTGTGTACGACCTCGCGCTCGCCATGGCGTGGGCCGCCTCGCCCGTCGACGTGCCGTCGTACGTCAACAGCTACGTGACGTCGCGCTACCACAGCAGCGATGCCAACGCTCTTGCTGCGTGGACACTATTGTCCTCATCGGTCTACAACGTAACGAAAGAGTATGGCGGCGTCACCAAGAGCATCGTGACGCGCCGGCCGCATTGGCACCTCGACGCCTCGACGTTCATGCCGTCCAACATCAGCTACGACCACGGCGCTGTCATCCGGGCGTGGCAGAGCCTGCTTCGTGCCGCAGACTCGGCACCGGCCCTCGCCACCACCGACACGTACCTGCACGACGTCGTCGACGTGACACGTCAAGCACTCAGCGACGCCATCTTGATCGACTACAAGCATCTTCGCGCGGTCTTTCGTGCCGGCAGCGCGTCGTCGAGCGAGGTAGCTTTGCCGATTGCAAACGTGCGGTTGATGATGATGGTGGATAGGTCTACGCGATCGCCCAGCGCATCTTGGACCGGATCGTAGGCATGGAGCGGGTGCTCGCTTCCCACCACGACTTTCTCCTTGGCCGCTGGCTCTTTGACGCCAAGGACCTCGCCGGGAGCAACACCGACCTTGCGTTGTACTACGAGTACGAAGCCCGCAATCAGGTGACGCGCTGGGGTGACAGCAACGGCAACACACTTGGCGACTATGCGACCAAGCAGTGGGCGGGTCTTGTCGGCAGCTACTACCTCGTCCGCTGGCGCATCTGGCTCAACGAAGTGTGCAGTGCGTACGAGGCCAAGCGGCCGGTCGACGAGAAGGCGACCAAGGCGGCCATGGAAGCCTTCGAGCTTGGGTGGCAGACCGAAATCATCTCGTACCCGATCGACGCCCACGGCGACACGCTCGCCATCGCCAAGGCTCTCTTGCAAGAGTTCGTTGGCCCGGCGCCGGTCTATGATATGGGCGTTGGGTTTTTGCCTGCCCTTGCGCATTAGGTTGTCATGATAACCTTAGTCGATTGTTTCTACTGTAGTAGTAGGCAACTTGACCAACCCGACACTTGAATTTGTGTGCAGTCGCTGGCCGCCGAGTTCGAACGAGGAGAGTGCAAACCATGCACTGTACTGGATGCGAGATACACTGTATCGATACAGACACTGGATTGAAGAAGGAATGCCATGGCAGTTACAAAACGAGAGAAAGGATATGACGTGGCGCGACGAGAGCACATTACGGAAGCACCGTGAATGCGTCGAGCGGCTTGGCCATGTTGTCGTGGGCGACCCATAGCACTTGCATGTTGGTGCGCGTGGCGATGATGCGCGACGTGCCGTAAATGTCCCCTTCGGCAAAGGCCGACCACTGCGGCACGGACGAGACGCGACGCCCGCCGTGGCCACGGCCGCCCGCGCCCGTCGTGACGTACACAATGCCCTTGGTCTTGTCGACCTTGTTCTTGAAGACGAGGTGCGTGCGCTCGTACGCGTGGCAGTGACCGGCAAAGACGACGTTGACTTTGAACTTGCTGCAGACGTCTTCGAGCTTGGCTTGAAGGCCGCAGTGGGGTTCGGACGACGCCTTCTTGTACTTGCCTGCCCAACACGTCTCGACGTTGCTGATCTCGAACGGTGTCGACCCGCACACGCACTGGTGGTCGTCAAACGTGTTGTAGAACGGGTTGTGCTTGATGACAATCACATACGGCGTCTTGGTTCGGTCGACGGCCGCCAAGTCCTTTTGGAGCCACTCCAACTGCTGGTTGCGCTCGGCGAGCCAGCCTTTGCTGCCGACGCTCCCGCTTTGCGATCCCACGTAATCGTCGAGGAAGACTGCGTGGACAAGACCGACGTTGATCGCATAGTACGTCCGGAACGCCGCCTTGTTGGTCTCAGAGATCGGACCGGGCACGCGCCGCAGGTACGCCTTGTACTTTTCACCGCCGACCGTCACTTCGTGATTGCCATTGATCCCTGTCGTCGGCAGTGTCGAGAGCGTCGGCACTTGCAAGTCGAACCACTTGTCCCACTTGTCTTGCTTCCCGTTGGCGTACGTCCAGTCGCCGGCGACGAGAATCGCTTGCGTTTTGTGGCCGTTGACCGGTGTGCGGAAGCTGCGGAGACTTCGGTCGTTGAAGTCCATGTCGCCGACGATACCGAGCACCGTCGGCGCTGCACTATCGCCGGGCGCCGGTGGAGCCACAAACGACGCCTGGAACGACCCGATCGAGTACGGATATGTCTTGCGAGGCGTGAGCTTGCAGAGGTCGGCTGTGTGCAAATGGGGCGACTTGTAGTTCCCGTCCGAGTATGTCGTGGCGGTCGACGTCGCCACTTGGTTGTCTCCAAACTTGACCGAGAAGGGCTGGGCTTGGCTACTCGCAAAGGACACCGAGATGCCGTAGGGGCAGCTCGCAGCAAACCCCAAGTGGACTTGAGTCACCGCGTCAGCAGCCAGCGTCGACGAGAGCGCCGAGAGGCAAAAGGAGAAGAAGGGTAGCGTGATGCGAACCATGGCAGGCGAATTGAACAATGATCAACACGCTCGCGCCCGAGAGCAAGTTGGAGCGAATCGCAACGCAACCTGTAGCAAAAACAGGATGCCCTTCGATCTTCACCAGATATCAGATGTCTGGTGCAACAGCTTGATCCGCCAACCGACGTTTTGGCAACAGAATTGCCATTCGACATGGCAAACGCTCATGCGCTTCGACAAAACAAGGAGGTACGAGGCACGGAGAGCAAGCTATCGACGGCAGCTTTCGACGTCAACTACCTCTCGGGTCTCAAGCGCCGCGAGTTTCAAGCTCGTGTCTCTTGCGCACTTGAGCGTAGAGTCGGCGCTGAGCGAATCATCTAGGGGGTCCGAATGCCACAAGCCGTGAAAGCCGTTGATGTTCGAACGCCTGCACGAATAAACGAGCCGAACTGAGACACGCTTCGAGTCCACCTCTTGAGTCCGCAAAGACCACGGTATGACAGTGTGTTCCATGCGCTGCAGCCATTGCAACGACCAATGCGTCACGGTAATCGCGCGATGCAAGAACAACCGGGCAGTAGCGTCGAGCTTCGAAGTCGACTATTGCAACGAGCACGGCAACGTAGTTGCGCTAAGTGTACACAAAGCCGTGGGATCGACATTCTCACTTCCGACACCGCAGAGAAACATTAGTCGGGCGCGTTGTGGGACTGGCTGATCACGATTAGCGTCGTTGCGCAATTCAGCTACTGCCATCCATAGGCAGCGCACTGCACCGTAAAGACCTCGTGCATTGAAGGACAACCGGACATT